ATTTTCCCGCCATTACAAGCCCACATTACATGCCATTGATCTTGAAATATTGTCCAAGAAAGGTATCTACAATGAAGTCTACTTTCTGGGCTCATGTCTTGAAGACTGGAAAAAAACATTCTGCCGAAATTAAAAGTAATTTTATCCTTTCTTGCTTATATGTATGTACCTTCGGGCAACCAACAAACAAACTTGGGAATTCCTGATTGATGTATGTACGGTTATAACGTGGCATATACGCTTGCACTTCAACGCTTTTCATATGCAAATACGTAACTGATCTCGTTTTACCCCCGTTCTTTACTTGTACTATAATTTTTTTACAATTTTACTTTGTTGCTAAGGTAGATTTCTATATTGTACTAAATTGTCTTTGTTATAAAGAAAATCTTATTGTGTTGCGTTCGTCGCTTCAACTCAGTTTTTATGGTCTTTTGTCTTTTTTTTTTTTTGTTCCTCGGCATCTCATACGTTGCGGTTACAATTGACTTTGACGGTACTTGTACCCCTTCAATTGGTTTCACATATGCATATGAATATGTAACTAACTGTGCATGTATTGTACAGCTTATTAATTCAATATTCAACACCGACAGATGGAGTTTAGTGCATTTCGTTGTTCGATTTGTGACATCCAGAAATAAGAAAACCCACAGCCTTTGATTTCATTGCAACTTTCATTGATCGCACATATTGTGATATTGTGATAGAAAGTTTATGATCGACAAATGAATGCAGTCCGCCCACAAGCCGCCTACAAATTAACAAATTGAAAAATCAAAGTAAATTATTTCCGCAGGTAAGTTAAATAAAAACTTTGCTGCAAATACTTGGAATGGAAGGAAAATTAATTCGATTAATAAGTTTTGAGAGAGCAAACAAAAAGTTTATAATTTTTTGATCGTAATTATCATCTGCAAAGTAGAGTAGTGTAGAGTAGAGAAGCGAAGAATGGAATAGAATAGAATTTTGGACAATCGACCAAAAAGACATTTGTCTATATAATAAGTTGTTGCATGTATTTTGATCAATTTTTAATTTGAAAAAAGGCATTTACTGACAAAAATTGGGACAATGTATGTTAATCAAAATATTTTCAATCATTTTCTAAAATTTTTTCCCTCTTTCTGGCAATATATCTCTATTATAATGTAAGTACGAAAATCGAAATAAATTTCCCTTAGCCATATGTCAAGAATCCCGCTTAACAAGTGAAGCTAGTTTATTTTTGCGATAACAAGATCACTTCAATCCTTATTCTCAAAAAAAAATTGACTCTGATTTGATTTGACTGATTATTGCATACTTAAAACTGAAGACCGATTCGGGCACTTTTATCGAATTTTTTCTTTTACTTATGGAAACAAGCAAGAACATTTTAGTCCGGCAAGGTCGACACCTAAATACCTTACACCACATATTCTAACACATTCCTTATTTTTATGCAAAATTACTGTTACGGGTCAATTTTCATCACCACAAAATAAAACTTCGACCTTTCTGCTCTACAAAGGATCAATTTTCGTGAAAATCCTTTTGGAGAGTAGGATCCGAAAATACAGTTCATTTTTTCATGTTAAATTACTATTATCATGCGTCATGACGCATTGAATATTATACCTTCTGTCGTATGAACTTCCGTTTTCGTTATATGAGAGGGCGCTCAAAAAATTGACCGTTCAGCTGGTCCAAAGTTCTCATACCAATTTAGAATGCCGAAATACTACTTCTTAGGCACTTTTGGCGAGAAATTTTGAAAATTGCAAATTTTTCTCATATAACGAGTTTTCAGAAGAGGGACGATCCAAATTATTTTCAACAGGGTCCGTCCTTGGATCAAAACACGTCAATGTACCAAATTTCATCGATATATCTCAAAAATTGCGACTTGTTGCTTAAACACAAATTAAAGTGAACCGACACACAGGCTTAGATCAATTCAGATTATAATTCTGAATCGATAGGTATAATAAAAGGTGGGGCTATCGCAAGCTCCCCTGCATGTTACATACATCTGCACTAACTTAATATGCTCCGCACCATAAGTGCGGTAGGGTATAACAAGGAAGATTACCTCAGCTCAGCGAGAGAGTAAAAAGATAGTTAACGGGCTTCAACAGGAACTTTACCGGGAAAGGCCTAAAAACTTTTTACTGTTGATTTCGAGTAACATTTCTCGTCTCAAATTCCCAATGCGTCGACTGGGTGTTACGCAAGACTTTTTCGAACATATTGAGCAAATCTTACTTAAAGCTTCGCATTGCTCATAATTTTTCAACTTTTTTTTGCCTGCCCAATATATTTGTAATTGCCAGGACTATCCAAACTCCGGCGCTTTAAAGAATTAAAAAATTTTTATATCATTTTCATTCCATTCATTTGAATTACATCCCTACTACACTACCAGATCTTACTAATTAACTTACATTCTTGCGACTAAGATGAATGATATTGAACTTGATTTCATTGTATATTTGGCCATGATGTAGTGCTCCCAAGGACTACAGATGATATTCATCGATAACGCGCTTATATGAGCGAATCTATCAAAGTAAAAATACAAATATTTTATGGTTAGCTTATATATATATATATATATATGTATATGTATATACATATGTAGAGCAGACATAACATATGGCCGCATTACGGAATCATTTCATCAGACTCTTGTGTCATTCGCTTAATCACAAGTATTACCGATAATGTCTAGGCAATAACTCATATTTTTAACTTTTATATTCTTGATAATTTTATATTGATAATAGGTGGGATTAAGTGAAATTAATTTTAGTTTATTTCTACCAAAATTTTGTGAAAAAAACTTTAGTGACTTTGGAATTAGCTCAGCTCAACGTCAAGCTATCCATTACTCATCGTTATGTAACAGATATTGTGATACGGTTATCTTTACCTTTTAAGCGGAAGCGCACGCAATTGAAATCTGCTGAGGGATAGCTGTTTCATGCTCTAATGAATGAAATTCAATCTAGAAACTTTCAAGCACATATTCATTTTATAGAAAATGAAATATAAGATATGTATAACTTTAACATTTACGGGACAATTAATGATTTTCATGAAATGGATGGATGGAATAATGAACCTAAGTAATGAAATTTTAAATTTTAAGTTTTTCAATTATTTTTCCAGCTTCTCCATATGTGGTAGGCGCGATTGAATACAGACGGAATGGTTCACATTTTTCTCAAATCTATCATTTGCTCCACTTGTTCAGTTACTAAGTATGCTTCAATATATAATAAGATTTTTCTTAAGACTATCAAAACTAGGAGGCTTGAAAACTTTGAATCTTCTTCCACTGGAGCGCAACGAACGAACGAACATACGAATTAAGAACTATTCGCAAGCATGCAGAACGTGTAAAATTTATAAACTTGGAAAAGAAAGGCATTTCGAACGGCATTCTCATGTTTACCGTTGGACATAACAAAACCATTTACAGTGAAAATTTTCTGAATCGTCGCGAATCGTAAAAACATACGAACATAGAAAGATGAGATGTGGCGTAAACATTCCTTGATCGATTAAGAATACGACGTTTAAAAATGGGCGCGGTCGCTACACATACGCACACACAATGCAAACTAAAACCCTGACAAAAGATAACATAAACATATTTTCAAAAATCATTGATCACTTCTATGTTCAGTCGACGTGGAAAAGTGGTTCCACTCGATGTACTACAGAGAAA